AGTCCCAGTCCCGGTGGCTTAAACTCAGACCAGGCGCATGTGCGTATGTGCCCAAGATCCCAAGTGGAGAATGGAGGAGAAGGGATTGTGGTGTGGCCATCCCCCCCTGGGGGGTGATTTCTCGCTCTCTGTCTCTCTTGTCTCTGTCTTTCTTTCTGGTGAGTGCATGTGCCCTACAGGAAAAAACCTCTACAAAAAAAAAACCCCAAAAAACAAAAAATACATTTTAGAATGTGTTATTTAGCTCTATTTCTTGTGTGATAATTCTTCTTTTTCTTCTTTAGAAGATTACAAGCTCCTTGAGTATAGGAATTGTTTGTATCCCAAAACTTGGCACAAGGGCTGGCGTTTTGTGGGCGTTTAATAGAAGTTGGATTGATGAAACATATATATATGATGTGTGTGGACAAGGACAGGAAGGAAATAATCAGAAATAAAAGTTATGTACGTGGTAGGATTTGTTGAACAGACATTTGAGTATTTTTCATGTACAATGTACTAAATCCTGGTAATATATCTAGTTCTTACCCCCATGTATCTTTTTGGTAGTGGTAATAGAAAATAGGAAAGTACATAAATACATGTATAATTGTACTGTATAATAAGTGCCATGAAGGAAATGAACAGATTACTACTATGGTAGAGAATACTGAGATGGCAAGAACCTATTTTTAAATAAGGTACCCAAAGAAGGCCCCTTTGAAAAGTGATATTTGAATATTTCAGGGTATTTTTTCCTCTTTTACAATAAGTTATGCATTTGAAACTAAGGGAAAATGGAGGTCTTTCAGGAGTGAGTGTATCTTCTTGGGGGGGTCAAGGACAAGAGGGGGTGGTACAAAAAAGTAAATGTGTGTGTTTATAGGTATGTGTAGGACAACTAGATGTTGTTCTTGGTACTGGATACATACAAGAATAATGGCAGGACGGAAATACTGCAGGTGATGGGACAGCCACAGAAGAAATCTATTGGATACTCCTGAAGCTATGGAGAGAGAAAAAGATCTTATGACCTTAATAGAAGACAACTTAGCCCAAGGCACAGCTTGTTGAAAGTGCTGGTGGTTGTGTTCTTTGAACCACTTTAAGTGCTTTGTGTTCTAGATGGACCATTGCATTGATGTATGTGATGTAATGGGAGGTGTTCTGTGTTTAGTCTATGTTTTACAAAGCCTGATTGATATTTAGGAATTAAAGCAAAAGTGTCTTTGGGACAGACCAGAGAATCCTGACTAATATTTTAATATCCTTGTTTGGAAAGAAAAGTAAATAGTAATGTTCCACAATTAGAAATTCTATTTTTTCTTCGTTAGGATTAAAGAAAAGGTTATTTTTATCCCATATGTCTCATCTCTTCTTGGAATAAACCAGAATTGAAGGAATACCTTCTTTCTGTTCCCTCCCCATCTTTTTTTTTTTTTTTTTTTTTTTTTTTAATGAAGGTAGTATATAATTACTCAATTTGGCAACTAAATTTTTAAACTTGTCCATAATTCTAATTTAACAAAATAAATCTTTAATTCTGTGTATTCCTTTCTAGATTTGCCCATGTGCATTCTTATTTTTACCTCTAATTTTATACGTATCATAGGCATTTATTTTATTTTATTTTTTTCTTTTTTGGAGAGGTTTTTGCTATAGGGTACGTGCGCTCACTGGAAAAACAAAAGAGAGACAGAAAGCGATGGGGGGGAATGGCCATGCTGCAATCCCTTTTCCTCCATTTTCCTCTTGGGATGTTGGGCACACACTTACATGCACCCGGGATGAATTTAAGCTGCCAGGTCTGGGATTCGAACAGTGGTAGACTACATGGAAGTCCAGAGACATAACTATTATGCCATCTGCTGGTCCTGACATTTTTTTTAATGTTAAAAATAAGAATCTCTAATGTAAACTATGGAGTTTGGATGATTATGATGGGTCAAAGTAGGGTCATTGTTGATAACAAATGTACTACTGTGGTGTAGGAGGTTGGTGGTAGGGAAGGTTGTACATAAGTGGGAGGAGGAACTCTGTACTTCCTGTTCAATTTTGGTGCTTACCTAACTGCTCTAAAAATTAGTATGTTACATTAATTGAATTGACTTTTTTTTTTTTTTTTGAGAGGTTTACGCTATAGGGTGCGTGCGCTTGCCAGACAGACAGAGAGAGACAGAGAGACAGAAAGCGAGAAATCACCCCCCAGGGGGGATGGTCACACCGCAATCCCTTTTCCTCCATTCTCCTCTCAGGATCCTGGGCATGCACGCACACGCGCCCGGCGTGAGGTTTAAGCCACTGACTGGGTCCGGGACGTGAACCGCGGTCAACCACATGGGAGTCCAGTGACTTAGCCATTACGCTAACTGCAGGTCCTATTTTACTACTATTTTTAAGAATTATTTTATTTGGGACCAGCAGATGGCGTAGTGGCTACATCGCTGGACTCCCATGTGGTCCACTGAGGTTCAAGTCCCGTACCCAGTGCATGTGTGCCCAAGGGCCAAAAGAAATGGAGGGGAAGGGG